CTCTAAGCCTTGTTTCTGGCTTTGCAAAATGTAATTCTTACATAGCCCGCATTCATTTCAGCGACTTTATTGAAAATTGGCTGTATGCAAACACTGTTCTAGATCTTCTTAGGGGTAGGAAGGATGATGTAAACACAAAAGAATTTGACATTAATCCTGTTTCTGCAGGGTTAGGGATTCAGTAGGGAAGGTAAAGTCTATGTCTAAATAATGGAAGTGATGTGCATTAGAAAGGTATAGATTACACTGAGAAGAAAAGGAAGAGAGGTTAGCCTTTCCTCCGGGAGAAGTAGAGAGACACTTGCGGAGGAGATGGCATCTGACCTGGGCCTTCCCAGACCAGCAGGATTCAGAGGCACAGAGATGAGACAGATTGGGGCTGAGGTGGCAGCAACAGGCACTTTGGGCGACAGACAAGGGGGAGGTTCGTGCAGCTCTGGCAGAGATAATCTGAAGGGAGATGAGGTTGAAAATACAGTTTGGAGCACTTGGCACAGAACTGACTCCTCATTCTAGCTCTCCTGGTCTAAATATAGACACCAAAAGTACTTTCTCAATCTTTCTCTAGGTAAGAGGAAAAGGAAAGTTTTATTGTTCTGGTTTTAAGTTCTCTAGACACCATTTTTTTTCCCAACTAGTTTTAAAAATACATGGCAAAGGGCCAGGGATTTAGCTCGTGACATGGCACCTGGCAAGTGCAAGGTCCAGAGTTTGACTCTGGGTACCAAAAAAACCATTGGAAAAATAAATTTAAAGAGTATAAACTTTCCACCTCTACTTCACCCCTAGACTCTACTGTCCACAGTTGTCTACCCTCCTGAAATATTCTGGGCAACATGTATACATATGTACACCATCACCCTGCATGTTCCCTTCTACCCAATATCCAATTTGTTTCCACCAGTAATATTCCTGGGAAATTGTTCTGTACCTGTCCATATAAGTGTCTCTCTTTTTTTTTCCGTTTGTTTTGTTCTTTGTTTTCTTGAGATAGGGTCTCACTATGTAGCTCAGGCTGGCCTTGAACTCACAGTGATCCTCCTGCCTCAGCCTCCCAAGTACTGGGATTACAGGTGTGTGCCACCATGCCCAGCAGGGAAGTCTCAGTCTCTCCCCCCCGCCCCACCCCCAGGCCCCCACACTGAGCTGTATCTCCAGCACGCTTCATTTTTTATTTTGACACAGGGTCTCACTCAGTCCTCTAGGCAGGACTTGAACTTACAAGCCTCCTGCCTTAGCTTCCTCAAGTGCTAGGATTACAGGAATGTGCCACCGTATCTTTTAAATCCTAGTCTAGTATTCTATTTTATAGAACTATCATGATTATTTAACCAATTCCTTAAAGATAGACTTGGTATTATTTGACTTTGCTATTACTTGGTGTTTATTTTATTTACTTATTTATTTACTTTTGAGATAGGGTGTCACCTTGAAGCCTAAGCTGGCCTTGAGCTCACCATCTGCTTGCCTGAGCCTCCTGAGTGCTGGGATTACAGCTGTGCACCACCATGCCTACTAGTATTTAACTGTTAATAACAAAAAGCTTAGTTACTTCTTCTGAAACAAATTAAGTTCAAGGGCTCCAGAGGCAGTCTGGGGGGAATCAAAATGTACATGAGAGAAAGCCAGGCAGTCCATATGAAAAACATGAGGCAGTTCAGAAGGATTACTGGTTTTGCAATATACTTAAGGTCCTCATTACTCACTGTGACCAAGAGCTTGACTATACTTCCAAGCTACAAGTTAGTATGCTCAATATTGCAAAGCTATTTTCATTATAATAAAGAGGATTTTTCTCAGTGGAACACTACCAAGATAATTCAGGAACACTCGTGAGTTTAGAAGGTGATTTTAAAGCTAAAAATAAAAAGTAAGCTTTAACTTACAAACACCCATTGATGAGGATAAAATTTCCCTCATGCTGTGTATTAATAATGCAGGGCTAGTTTCTGAAGAAAGCAACATGAAGAGTAGGATGGTGCTTTAGCTCACACTGCTCTAGAGTCAGGCCAGCCTGGATAGGTCACTGTCACCCTCTGATCTAACTCACCATCACAGGAAAGTTTCTAGGACTCAGTTCACCCAGAAAATGGAGTTAAAACCCACCTATGGTGCTGTAGGTGGGAACTGAGCAAAACAATGTGGCACATACAGTTACTGTATAATTACTAGTCAATAAATGATAACCATTATTTAGTGACTACCTAATAATAACCAGGATACTTTAATGAATACTTACCATATAACATGTGCTCTACACGGGGACCACTGGGGCTCTGTGTCTCTTCTTCTCTTACACTCACATATACATACATGTTCACACACACACACACCCCCAAACTCATTTACTCCTCTTCTCCCAGCCCTTAGGGTTGGTACTGATTAATAAAATTTTTCTTGCATGCCACTGTTCAAAGTGTTTTTATATACATAGTCTTCTTTATTCCACAACCATGACCCAAGTAAGATTAAAAAATGAAAAACAAGACCTCAGAAGGTCTGGAATTACAAGGTCTCAGAATTTAGGAAAATGCAAACTCTAACAGTATTCTTACAACAGGGCAGAACTCATTGAATTTAATTGAATTAGGTGTGTGTTAAACAGAAATGACAGCCATTATAGCTAGGTCAAAAAAATGAGCCCAAACTCATCCAAGAAGAAGAAATCACACCAAGAAGTTTCCAGCTGACCCCCATGAAGAGACTGCACCGGGCCCCAGGGCGACACAGAGGAGCCTTCCCAGTCATGCTTCTAAAGACAGTTTTGGACTCCTTTTCAGGGCTGCCCAGGGAGCCTGGAGCAGAGCCCTGTACCAGATGAAATGTTTGGATCCTGCCAGCTGCTCCTGGACTTTCAGCAGCTGTAGGAGCAGCTGGTTTTACAAAAGTCACAGAATAAGCTTTTGTTCTGAGGTGGAAGAGTTCTATATTTTGTGAGAAACTTTTAAATTTGAACCTTTTTTTTCTGGTTTTTTTTTTGAGACAGGGTCTTGCCATGTAGTTCAGGCCAGTCTTGAACTCATTATGTAGCCCAGCTGGCCTCAAACTTGCAGCAATCCTCCTGCCTCAGCCTCCTGAGTACTGGGATTACAGGGGTGCACCACCATGCCTGGCTAAATTCAAGTCTTTATACAACTACCTTCATGAGCTATCACCCAAGATGTGGTGCGTGGTGCTTGTTATTCATGCTTCTTACAAATTCTTAAATGACCTAAAATGGTTTTATCCAGGGAAAATCTTCCACTATAAAAGTCAGGTTTATCCAATTCTTTACGTCATGAAGGAACTAAAGAGTCATGAACTAGGAGCTCAATTATCCCTGAGCCAGCATAATTAAAAATCAATTGGTTTCCAGGAATGATAGATTGGATACAAGAATTTACTCCTGTTCCTCCTGATAATATAAGTAAAAGGATTTTATTTTATTCTTTTAAAGGTATAAAGGTGCTAGAACAACAAGAACATGAGGAAAGAGAGCAGAACACAACTTTGAAGACCGGAAGGTAGCAGAACTGAATCCTGAATCGATAAGAGGAAAGAATCGAGACCAACTCCATTTATACCACAGAGCCCCGCAAAGGCATGGGTGGTGCTGCTGGAAGCAAGGAACAATGGAAGGGATGAGCTGAAATATGCTAAATTGTTGAATCTCCTTGAAGGCACAGTTAGGATCTCCAGACCAGGCTTTTACTCCACAAAGCTGCGAGGTTGCTCCTGCCCCATACTGGAGAAGTCTGAAGATACTCGATAGTATGAGACCTGTGGGTGAAGGACTGGGTACACCTTGCAGGTAGAAGTACAGTAATGAAAACTGGGGGATGAGAGAACATTCATGCTGGGATATTCCCCCCAGTCCTTTTCTCAGAAAGATGGCGGCCAGGCTCTGACCCTGAGGGCAGGAGTCAGATCTTCATGGCTAAAGTTCTAGTATCCTAGAGAAACTATCTTTCTCAAGTAAAGGGGCACTGTGAGGACTTCAAGTGAAGCCATTACCAGTAAATACCACATGAGAGCACCAGGCACAAATGACCCTTGTTTTTCCTCATTCCTGAATATAGCAGACAGGGAAGCATCACCTGACGTGTGAGTAAAGAGTCTTACAGGGAAGATAGGGTCCAGAACAAAAGAAATACCAACTCATACTGCAAGGGTACAATCAGCACAATCCAGAATGGAAAACAAATTAATCAACAGATTAATTGCACCAGAAAAGTGACAAGACACCATCTAATACAAGTTACTCTCTCCATGCCTCAGTTCCTTACCTGTGAGACAGGGAACAAACAATAGTACTGCCTTCCTAGTGTTGCTGGAAGGATTTAGAATAAAATAGAGTAGTACATGGCACAAACAGCAAGCTACCACAGTTGTTACTCTCATCAGATGATTGTCTTTTTACATTATGCTAACAAATAATATAGTACAATAACTAAAGAGAAAAAAACCAGAAATCAAGGCATACACATTTTGAAACTAAACATATTTCCAGATTTGGAATGACTGAAAAAAATGTTAATTTGTTGTATCCAAAACTCTGAAAACTTCTCTTCTTCTTAAGTATTTTAGTACAAACACATCTGCACATAGTATGTGCTCCACAGCAATTCAGATGTCAAAGTGGTAACTGACTGGATTAAATAACTCTTAATATTTTGACCATTAGTTGAGATTTAAAGTGACCGTGTAGAACCCAAAACTATAAAAATAAAAAGTATTTTAAAAAGTTATTTCCAAATGTTTTAAATTTTTTTTTACAAATACATACTTCAATATTTTTGATACAATAAAAGGATTTTTCTCCTTCCTCTTTCTTGTAAGCATTAGGTATATTTTGGAAAGTCACTCAAACAATAAATATAAAAATATGTACCAGTTACTTTGCCTAGTTAATAAAAAATAAATAAGAACTATTTAGAAACATTTCCAATTTTTTCTCTGTCATAACAGAAGCCTACAGAAAATAGTTTTAAAATGGAAAGTTCAGTCATGTCAAGACTCACAGAAAAAGAAGGATTCCAGTGTTTGCCAGAGCAAAAGCGAGTCCCAAAATCCCACTGCCCATGATGGCGTTGCTTAGGTTAAAGACAGACATGCCCAGCGAGGTTGTTCCTGGAATCTGAACAATGAAATAAATATTCACAGTAAGCCAAACAGTCTCCAAGAAAGTTCATCAAGCCAAAGCCTTTAAAGCACTATTAGGAACTACCATGGAAATAAAACTGAAGACATTCTTTCTCAGTGGTCTAGTTACTATGTTTTAAAATAGGTTTCAGGAGAAAAATACATAGGATATAGTTATGCTTTTGGTGCTAAGCTACATGAATTAAAAACATCTGTCCCAATTTATGTGCTTAAAAAATAAGCACACTTATTTTAATGATACTTACATATTCATCGCATTTCTTTTTCTCCAAATGGCTGTTTGTGAGACTTCTTCTACTTTCACGATCAGAAATAAACTTGCTGTAAAGACATGCATAATACAGCCTTATGATAATGATTTAAAGCTTAACGTCAAGTCTAAATAATTTATTACTTACCAAAACATATTACACATGAATAGTTTTGAATTGGTTTGTATAAGAATTTATAGCTCTATTCAATACCTTCCCTCATCTTTTTTTTTTTTTTTCTTGCCAGTATCAGTGTCTGTATTCTTGTTTCATCAAGTAAACTCTAAGAGCTTCAAGGGCAGGTACTTTACTTCATTCATTTTTATATCATTCCTTCTACCCAGTACAAAAACTTGCCAATAATAAGTGCTCATCTTGAGATGAAATGAAAGGCAGTCATAAGTCAAAAAGAGCTATATATTTTAAATAAAACACTATATACAATGTAAGTTAACTTTAATGTAAATTTTCCTCTAAGTGGAAAATTACATAATACCAGGACTACTACAAACCTGATGTTTTAAAGAATACTAGAGGCAAGGTTCCTCCTGAGCACCTTGAGAACCCAAATTCTTACAGCATAAAATTACTATACAGGAATTCCCTCTCCTTTGCAAAACAGAAAACAGCTATTTCGCCCTCAAACATTCCTTCAACACCTGCTGCATGCAAGTCATAGGGGACAGGTGATGCAGGAGACAGGGGCTCCTCAATAAGTGATGCCTGCAGAAGGCTACAGGAATTGAGACAGGAAATTACGGCAACGTTGAGCATATGGTCCACCATTAGGGCCAAAGCCAGGGCTAGAAGAAAACATAGAATTCCAAACTTGAGTTCAAATCCTCACTAGGTCTGAGGGCCTGAGCATGCTACCTTGTTTTCTCATCTGTGAAATGGGAGTAAAGCTATTACACTGCCTCACAGTCTTACTGGGAGATTTAAACAGGAGCACGAGGCTGGATGTGGTGGCACATGCCTGTAATCCCGGGAATCGGGAGGCTGCGGCAGGAGGATAGTCTTAAGTTCAAGGCCAGCCTGGACTGCATAGTGAGACCCTGTCAATAAATACAAACAAGGGGATGTGCAAAATATCAGCACCCAGCACACAGGAAGAGCAACAGATGTTGGTCATTCCTGTCCCTGTGGGGAGAGAGGCTCGACTTGGAATGGGAAAGATTCAGACAGGCTGAATGCCATAAACTACGTACAAATACATAGAAACAAGCATTCAAAATGCTCTAAGAACAATCCAATATAATCAGGGTTAAAATCAGAACTTTATGGCTTTTATGGTTTAGATCTAGGATGGACCCCCAAACTCTCATGTGCTCAGTGGCAAGGCTTTTGGAGGTGTTGGCATCAGGAAGACACCATACCCATTAGTGGGTTCATCTAATGGTAAGTGTGCCACTGGGAGGTGGGACCTGGCCCAAAGAGGCGGTCCCTAGAAGCACGACCTAGCAGGGCATAGCTCCCTCCTTGGCTTCTCCCTTCTCTCACGTCATCCTAGCTGCTAAGCCTTCTCTCACCACGCCCTTCTACTATGCTGTTTCTGCCTTGGAGCCAGATGACCATAGGTTGAAACATGAGCCCAAATAAATTTCTCCTGCTTTAAGTTGTGAGTGCCAGGTATTGTGTCTCCGCGATAAGAAAATGACTAACATAATGGCCTGAAATTTTAAAAACTCTCCATTAAAAAATGCTTTCGCCAAGCTAAAGTCCACACAGTGGCAAGCTGCTGCATGTATTGTTAAGATATGTTAAAGATGTATTTGGTCCCTCTAAGTCTGGAAATTCAATGACTGGGTTATGTTTAGGTCTATTCACAGTAAATTTTTCATTAATAAATTTAAAACCATCTAAGTTGGACTTTTAAATTTACTATTAGTGGAAATTATGGCTGGAATAACCACAGGAAGGGCTTCACTGGAAGGTCCAACTTTCTGTGATGGTATGGAGAAAATACACACTCCAGCACTGGGAATAGCTCAGAGATGGACACTCTTTCGCTGATGTGCAGAAGACAATCTTTCTTCACAAAAAGGACCACAGCACTCAGTTCTCTACTAAGTTCTCCTAGTCTTGATCTTCTCCTGGTCAGCCTTGTATTTTGATGCATCCCTGGGTTCACTGCAGCAACTGCTCCAGTCGTCAGCTTCAGCTGTGGTCTTGTAATGGTGCCACACAGATACCTTGAAAACTGTCAACCTCTCAAATGATCCACTAAAAAGAGCCTCCAAATAAATGGTACCTACTCCTTCCATGGAATATAATTTTAGATCTCCTTGAGAATATCTAGCATACAGATGAGAAATTGGCAAATCATAACCAAATCCAGCCAAAGGGGCTGGAGGTCTTACAGGCTCTGGAGTAGGTATAGGAGCAATTGAGTATCTGTAGTTGAAAAGACGATCTATTTTTCAAAGTGGGACTCTATCACCTGGGACACTTATTGTAATGGACAAATCTTCACCCAGAAAGGTTTTTTTGTTTTCTTATATTCTTTTATTGGTACATTTTAGGTATACAACACCACCCAGAAACTTTTAATGGCAGGGTAGCCCTCTTTTCTATTTTCATACAGCTTAACTGCTGCTCTCCTTGAGTTGTTGAACAACTCAAATAGCATGTAAAACAGATGTGAGGGCACATAAACTATCTGAATAGGTTTGCCTGGCACTTAGGCACTGAATCTTTCAACTTTCAGGTCTGGAGCTACCATGCGATACTGATCACTCAGCACCTTTCACAGCATCAGCGACACTTCGGGTGGGATCATATTGCGCATATGTTTAGGATGAGCAGGATTAGTGCCATCACTAAACAAAAGTGTATGCTGCTTAATAAACATGCAGAAAGGGATGTGGCTGATGTAAAATTGATCCAGAAAATACTGAATGCTACTGCTCATGAAGGGACCAAATCCAAACTTCTCCTTGTATTCAATCCCTCCTTGTACCACTGTGGGATTCACATAGTGTCTATTTCTGACTTTAATGAGAACTTGTATAAAGTTATCTAAGACCTGTGGATCCTCAGGGCTCACTCTTATTTTTGTATTCTAAAAGCTCAAGCAAACCGCATGTATCAGATCTGAACCAGTTCCACCAAAGGGCACTTCAGTAAGATTCTGCAGAAGATTAACTTCTCTCCTGATGTTAGCCAGCTGCACAGGAAGTTCCTTTGGTAGAAATGCATGAAGTTTCTTCACATGCATTATTTCCCCTGTGTGCTGTTTCCTAAGTTTTTCTTCATTTTTTTTCTTTAGGAACCCTAACTCTTGCCACTGTGGGAAGTAGCCATAAACTCCATAGGCTCTATGATTCCAGATGAGGGGCTCTGGCTGAGATCCAGGGCTCATATTCCACAGAAACCAGCTCAGCTGTGCTCCCTAGTGGAGTGGTCTCCTGAGACACGTGAGTCTAGGAACTGTTTGATGGAAAGCCAAGAGGGCATGCAGAACCCAGGAAGCGCTTGATTTGCTTTGGCACTGGTAGTTTCAGCAGCCGCTGGAACAGCTACACCCTGGCATTCTCTCCAAAGCATCACAGAGACTCACAGAAACATCCTGACAGCCACAAGGGCCCCACAGCTGGGCCTCACAGAGAGGGTGTGTTCACACCTCAGACTCTCTGGGCTTTGAGGCTGCTGGTACAGTCCTGCCACAGCAGCAGCTTGGGTTATTTTTTAAAAGCTTGTATCTTTAAACTGCATTATGTTTTTCATACACATTTTTGAATGTTACATTCCACAATGAAGCATTTTCAAAAGTGAACCATATGTAATTGGTGTTGATTTTATCTTTTTCATCTTTACTGTAAGGGATCGACTTCTTCCTGGCATTACTTCAAGTTTGTGTTATTTCAAAAGAATACACCAAGGAATGAATAATATATATATCAAACTTACTCTTAGACCATCACTTGGTACAAGCTACACAGTCTGTGACCTGCCACTCACTGTAGGGAACCTAAAAGGCATGGAAGAAGAGTTGAGTCTCCTGAAATGCAGGGCTCATGTTACCATACCAGCTATACCGGTATAGGAACGTTGGGCTGTGCAAAATTAAGATGGGGTAAGGAATCCAGAGAAGGAAAAAACAGTATTAGCCACAAAAAAGTTAAAGGCAGAAACCAGAGAAATACTATTGCTTGATCTTAGCAAGAAAATGACATAATGAAAGCAGAATCTTTGGAGACCAACTCTAGCCACTGAATAGCATTGCTAATGATTGGTCTGACCCTTCTTTGCCCTGAACATTTTAAATCTTTCCACAGAGCTGAAGTTTACAATCTGACTGCAGAGGAGCAGAGAAAGGCAGTTGTCCCTTCTGTACTGGCTCCCCAAGGACACATGGGTGGCAGGCTTTCCGAAACGAAATGGACTCAGCCTGTATGTAATCAGGCTAATTTTCATAAGCGACTCAGATCTACCAAATCTTTGCCCACAGGTGCCTCGTTTGCTTTCTTGAGGAAGAAACTTGTTTTCCAAAGAGAATTTCCCTTATTTTTAAATTAAGGGAAAAGCTTGAGCATTTTTTTCAAATAAACCAAACAAAGCACTGCTAAACCACCTGTGATGGTAGATTTCAGGTCCAGGCAGCCCTTGCCAAATGTTGTAGCAGGAGACCGGAAAAATGAAGAAAGGGAGGCAGGGCCTGTGACATGAAGGGACATTCAGCAGGGTCAAACAGTAAAATTAAAGGGGATGAAGAAGGTCCCTACCTGATGGCCAGCTCTTTTCCTGCAGAACTGCAGAATGAGACTGATAACAGAGATGTTCTGATGCATAACCATTAAAAACTCTATTAAAACACACTGTCAAGTGCCTCCCAGACTCTATTGCTTTTGGTCCATTTTCTGCAGCAAGACTTCATAGATTTTTCCCCAAAATCTCTGGCTTCCCCCACCAAGTCGGTTTCAAGTACAAACTCCTCACCCTGCAGTTCTGCGGTTCCAGGTACTGCTTCATTTGGTTTTGCTTCTACTCTGATCTTAGCTCCCCCTGCAACCTGCCAGAAGGGGTGGAGGGCTGAGACCAGAGCAGGGCATTCTGAAAACAGAGAATAAAAGATGGGACAAGGCAGGAGGGAAAACCATTTTCCTCTGAGAGGTCTGGATCCCACCCCACCCATCCATCCCTTCCTGACAGTTCAAGATTTCTTTTTTTTTCTTTTTCTTTTTTTTGGCACTGGGGATCAAACCGGGGCCTTTGCACTGAGCTACATCCCCAGCCATGTTTTAACTTTTTTAAAAAATTTATTTTTGAGACAGGGTCTTGCTAAGTCACTAAGTTGCCCAGGCTAGGCTCAAACTTGTAATCCTCCTGCCTTCTCCTCCCAGAATGCCAGGATTACAGGAGTGTGCCATTATAGCCACCTCCTTTCTGGCAATTCAAAACCCTCATCCTACCAGAGCATCCTTGCACTTTGGTCTGAACGAAGCTTTCTGACTCTGACCTACTTACTACCTTATCTGTAGCAAACGTGGTGCCACTGAACTCATCTTGGACCCACAGGGGTTGTGCAGTGAGGGCCCTGGGTCCCTCAGCTCCTTCTACTGTTCCCCTAGCCACACATTATCAACACAGGAACCCCCCAAAACCAAGCACAGTGACTGGCAGATCACAGATTGTGCAGCTTATACCAAGTGATGGTCTCAAAGTAAGTTTGTTATATATGTATACAAATATATATATTACTGGCCTTTGGTTTATTCTGCTGAAATAACACAATTTCTAATCAGGAATCAGGAAGTAGCTTAGGTTACAGGGAAATTTAGCTAGGTAAGACTGGAGTCCTTAAAGGAACTCTCTTTATTTATTCTTTTCATGGTGTTTCAACCTTTACTTCCCTTTAATTTTTAGATCTTTGCTTTACATTCCTATAAATTTAAAACAAAAAAATATATAAAACCAACATTTCTTTAATAGAAATTTCCATTCAAAATAACTAGGTCAGGCAGATTTTCACATTTCTGTTCTCTCTCCATTTAAAAAGTACAATTGCTTGTTAAAAAATGCTGACCTCCGCCAATGAAAATTTCTTTTTATTGACTTAAAATGAGCCACTGAAGAGGGTATCTTTGACATGCGGTCTCAGGATAATGAAAGTATTGTTAAAAATAGTTTTCACTGGGACAGACAGTACCCATAAAGCAGAAAGTGATCAACCCTTCGTAATCAATTGCTCTGTAAATAAACCACCAAGTCCTACAATGGGTGATTTGGTGACCCCAAACAGACAAAATCTTAAAAAGGATAAAGGTGTTACATTATAGTGTGAAAAGAAGAAAGCAACATAAAGCTGTAATTTCAAACTAAAGACACATCAACAACAATCTAAGGATGGCTTCTACATTAGAAAGATAATCTTCCTCCTTTAATCTCTACTAATCAGGTTCTTACTAGATTATAGTGTTTTATTTGAGGGATTCATAAAACAAAGGAGATGAGAAAGAGATGAGTGGTTGGACTTAAATGACCTTTCCTAGTAGTCCTTTCTCTG